TGTGCCCCCTCCCCACCTGCTGTGGGAGGGGCTGGGCAGCACCGCAACCTCCCGCAGCCCCCCCGGGACCTGAAGGTCATAAGGGAGGGTTCAAATAACTCACCCTCAAGAAACCTGCCTGCATTTGAACCATAAGGTAAACGTACACTCCCACTCTTCTATACATACACAGCATCTTTTCCCATGATGTGATGCCCCTTTCCCAGGACTCTGACCTCCAGCTCTCCCACTGCGGTGCTCGGGATGCCCTCAAAGGGACCCAGCCCGTGTGGGAACCCTGCTGGTGGGGTAACCAGCTTCAGCCCAGCCCAGGAGGGATGGCGAGGGCAGGCTTTGTGTGCTCAAGGTCCCAAAGAGCCACTGAGACAGAGCAGAAAATATTCTCAATCGTAAAAGAAGCTGATTTTCCCACAGTTGAATTTTTAGTAAAAGCCCCCCAAACCAGTGGTTGGAAGCAGTTCTTTTAAGCAACTGAGAAATTCACCCAGAGACCAGGATTGTGTAGTAGCAGGGAACTCAAGGCACACATCCCATGTTTAGGAAGGGATACAGCAGGGAAGATTGCTCAGGAAAATTAAAAAGGCAGTAGGTGAGTATTCTTTTTTTCCTAATGATAGGAAGAGCCAGGATAACAGGAAGTGTGTCACATTTGCTTCTAGCAAAACCAGCTAGAAATTATCTGAAGGTGTAAAAAACAGAGCAACACATGGAAGAATTATCATAAAAGGATCAAGTTCATGGATTTTGAAAGGAAGCAAAACAGCAACAGTGACAGCAGACAGGAATGCAAACTTCAGGAATTTCTTTAAAATCTCTTAATGTGAGGGGAAATGCAGCTTTGAGGATTCAGCAGTTCCTAAATGGAACTATTTTTTAGGGAACAAGTGTAAATTATAGAGAGAAGAGGAAGGATGGGAAGTAAATAAAGAACCTCAAGAAAAGCACAAGTTCTTCAATGGCCTCAAATGCTAGAAAGCAGCATATAGAAACTAGGTCAATTTTTAAAGTATGAGCATCTAAAGGAGATAATGAAGACAAAGGGGCACAGAATAACTACTGGAATTACTCAACAAACCTTGTCAAGACCAAGGAAAGTAAGATTTCTTTTGTTCAGTCTGGTATGATCAAGATACCAAATGTAACAAACAGAGTAAAACCTCAAGCTGGTATGAGGAAAGATCAGTTCACAGGATACTTGAATGTTGTATTTTTCCTTATCTGGTAATTACTTTCAACTTAGATGAAAATATCCTTGAGGGTTCAGAGAACTGACTGAAGCAATCTCCAGTTAATTACTGGTCATCTATACAGGAAACTGCAGAAAATGACTGAGTTTCCAGGAGACTGATAACTTGGTCATCTTTCCCCATTTAGATTGGAGTGTGGGGAGGACAGAATACAAGCTATATAAATTAAGCTGTCTGATCAATAACTACCCAAGAAATCACCTAAAATAA